TGAAAACTACATCATTACCCAACTGACTCTAGTATCCAATCACTATACAGTATTTAGTGATCCAGCCACCCTACTAACCAACTACTTTATCACCCAACTGACTCTAGTGTCAGTCTAATGTTCAACTGGCTCTAGTACCCAGTACTTTATGATCTAGCCACTCTACAACCTCGTTTCCAGGACCTTCTGTGTTTATGGCGGTACAGCGCAGTATCCTGCATGATCATGGCAAAATTTTCCAGGATGTTGCAGCTTTCGGGGTCATGGCAAGCATCTTGCAGGATCCTGCATGATCATGGTAAAATCTTGACAAATCTTGCATGATTTGATAAGATCTTAGTAGGATCTTGGCAGGATCTTGTGTAAGGTCTTGCTAGAACTTCAGAAGTCAAAGTCAAGTTCTTGACAAGATTGTCAACCTTGGACTGGGTTAAAACATGCCGTTTATACTTTTTCAAATTCGATAATGAATCATAGTATCTCAGCGATGTAAATAGCCTTCAATGATGTTTTATCTCTCCTAGTAAATCTTTGTTTTACACTTATTCACGATTAATCACTAAAACGTACTAAAATTTTGAACAAAATTAGCCAAAACCAAACAGTCCGGCGCCCTCGGCCGCCGAAATCATAGATTTCGCAATCGTCATGTTTTTCGCGCGATTAAGCCGCGAAATTCGTGACTCGTCACGCGTGGTCATGTATTTCGCAATAGTCATGAATTTCGCTTGACACAGGGAAGCGAGTTTTGCGCCTGCATAATCTTATACATGTGCTTCTTCCTTACACCGGTATTTTCCGGTCTCTGAATGCAGTGTATCTATAAATTCGGGTTGATATGGATCTTTGCAGGAATGTAGGTGTATCAAGTAATATAAAGCTTTAAGCTTAAAGGAAAAACAATTTATATTTCTCCGAATGCAATATAGTTTTATTAACCGGCCTGACAAACAAGTTTTTGAATAATTTTAATCAACATCCTGTTATGTATTTATTATAAATAAATAGTTTAAAACCGAAAGTCGATACGCTTGGAGCCTTTACACAGATTTATGTTGGACTGATAGCTTGTTGACGATATCTACATGCATGCAATTGTGTTATTTCGCATCTTTAAAACCTGAAACTATAAGCGTCATCGCAGGCAGCAATCAAACGAGAATGGAATTCTCCACATGCATGCGTGTCATTTGCCAATACCGAAGGAAACTTTGTAAATAATCTGTTAATATTTTCTCTTACGACACTATACACTTGTTTTTAAAAGCTAGCATTTTATCTATAATTTTACTTATTAAATGCCGATTATCAAATATTCTTCATGAATATGTTTCGGAGAGGAGTATAGAGAGCATGGCATCTTTAACATATCTCATATCATACTAACAAATTTAATTGTAGGAAAACATGCAAAGTCGGCTCGCTATGATAAATCATACGGCAAATTTTCATAGAAAATACATCTCCCAAACGTATTGTGAATTTATAGACCACCCAAACCAAGGTAAGGCTTGCACCAATTGCGTAAAGAAATGCCGCGAAATACGTGTGATATTTTTATCAAATCTGTTCTCTTCTCGATACTTCATACAATCGAGACATTTACAAACGTTGCTATCGCATATACCGTAGTTATAGTGCTAATAATATCACCAATATTATTGCGATTAGCTTCATGAAATATAAATTTTAACCTACAAAGCTCGTTTATCGAGTGCTTTGTCAAATCAATTTCAGCCTTTAATACCACAAACCACAGCCACAATTACGTACTAAAAAATAAGACGGAAGTGCAAATGTTTAATGAAACATAATAAAAAGCTGTTCTCAGCCAATATCAGGCAAAATTGATATTCTTAATATAAATGTACTTACTTAAATATTGATTCTTGCCAGGAAATTGTGAAATTGAATGTACTAAAACGCCGTTCCTTCGTTGTTGTTTGCCAGTATGTCTGAATGAATGAATGAATCTGAATGAAAAAAATGATTACTATTTGAATCGTATCTGAACGCCGTTGTTTATAATACATGCTTTGGCAACGGATATGAAGTGCGAACGGAAGAACTTAAGGAAAGCACTTGAAACAAGTAGTATACGTGTGATGTAATATTCTTTATTCACCCGCGAGTAATAGCGCCAAAATTTGCGAGACTTCACCTCCAGACACGCCTCTTCCTAAAAACAATGATGAGGTATCGTTCCAGTGATTTATTAGAGTTCATTGGAAGAGATCTGCGATCCGCGATTGCGTTAATGGCGAGAACACTTGCAACACGGAAGGTTGATATTGAACCAGATCAGACCACAAGTTTGGAGGCGTTTTTGGCGTGTCGCCTAATACCACTGGATAAGAACCCAGGTGTTCGTCCCATCGGAATTGGTGAAGTGCTTCGTAGGATCATCGGGAAGTCAATTATCTTTGCAATCAAGCCTCAAATCATGGAAAGTGCAGGTGATGTTCAGCTTTGTGCTGGACAACCAGCTGGTTGTGAGGCAGCAGTTCATGCCATGTCAGAAATCTTTGCAGGAGATGGGACGGATGCTGTGTTATTGGTGGATGCTACAAACGCATTCAACTCAATTAACCGGAGAATCATGTTGCACAACATTCAGTACATTTGTCCTGCCATGGCAATTTACACCTTCAACTGTTATGTCACAGCATCAAGATTGTTTGTCCAAGGAGGGAAAGAAATTACTTCTGCAGAAGGTACGTACACACAGGGTGATCCATTAGCCATGCCGCTGTATGCTGTTGCCATTACACCCTTGCTGCAGTTGATTAAATCTGATGAAGCTAGTGATGTTCGACATGTTGCCTTTGCTGATGACCTTAGTGGTGCTGGTAAACTTGCTCATTTGCGTTCCTGGTGGAAGAACATTGCTATTTATGGTCCCCGTCTTGGTTACTATCCGCGTGCTGACAAATCCTGGTTGATTGTGAAGCCGCACCTGGAGCAGACTGCCAAAGAGATGTTCGTTGGAACTGGTGTTCGTATAACAACTGAAGGACATAAGTACCTTGGAGGATATCTTGGCTCTGAAGATGGGAAAGATAAGTACATTTCGTCTTTAGTTAGTAAATGGTGTTACCAACTCCACGTTTTAAGTGAAATTGCTAAATTTGAGCCCTAAGCTGCATATGCTGCATTTGTATCAGGGTTTCGGCACAGATTTACTTACCATATGCGCACTGTTCCAGGTATCAAGACTGCGATGCGAGTGGTAGATGATTCCATCAGCCTGAAGCTCCTGCCAGCGCTCCCAGACAACCGTAGTGTTTCCATCCATGAGAGGAAGTTACTGTCACTGCCGACGAGAATGGGGGGTCTTGGAATACCTATCTTCTCCGACCTGTGCGATGAAGAAAATGAGAACTCAAAGACCATCTGTAAAAATCTCTCAAGCAAGACCATCCATCAGAATGATGACGCTCCAGCAAATGAAAATGGAGCATCCATCTACGATTTGCGCCGTGAGATAATTAATCATCAACATGCCCAAAACAAGCTGGTGTTGCAGAACTTGAGATCAAGTATGAGTTGAAGGGATCCTCAGCTTGTTTGACAGCACTGCCACTTGCTAATGAAGGGCATGTCCTCACGAAACGAGAATTATTTGACGCAATCTATATGCGTTATCGGTGGCCATTGAAGCGCCTTCCATCCTTCTGCGCTTGTGGAAAATCTTTCACCGTGGACCATGCCTTGTCGTGCCTGAAAGGAGGTTTTATTCATCGACGACATCACGAAATCCGTGACCTTCTCGCTTCTGCCATAGACGACGTGGCGAATGACGTTTCTACTGAACCTGCTCTTGCTCCTTTAACTGGCGAAGTACTTCCATCCAGTGCTAGTTCGGCCGACGATGCCAGAGTGGACATAGCTGCGAGAGGTTTCTGGCAGAGATGTGAAAAAGCATTTTTTGATGTCAGGGTGTTTAATCCTTACGCTTCGACACATCGACGCCAGACTCCATTACCAGAAATTTGCGACATGATAATTTGCATTTAACTTTCAGCATAATGGCCTTCAACTTTTACTATTAAATGCATATAGTAAATATACAAAACCTTAAAATGACGTTGCCCTAGACCTTGCCCACTGTTTGCCGACCTCTGGGTCAATAGAACAGCCGTTTCCCAACGTTTTAATGATCGAATTACTTACCTTAGGTATTTCTACGTTCGGCCAACTGATTGTGAACAAATGTGTATATAGCCGTCGTATTGTTCAAGTTCCTGATAAGACTGATAATATTTTTTAAAGTGATTGCAGTGAAAATCCGAGCCGTACAGAAAAGTTTATACACAAATACGAAAGACAATATCTTTAACAACTTTTTTGGTATATTACACGTCAATTCATCAACTACCTGAATCCGTGAATCGAAATATTCGAATCAATGTGAGCGATTTTATAAGTTCGTTGACAGAACACGGACAAAACTTTGAGCAATATATTTTTAAATTTGGCAGATTACAGAAATGCCCAAGCAAAAAAATTCGGCCACCAAAACGTTTCTAAACAGCTGCTCGACCGATCTAGAGGTCGGCAAACAGTAGGCAAGGTCTAGGTCAACGGCATTTTTAAGTTTTGTATATTTACTATATATATTTTATAGTAAATGTTGAAGGCCATTATGCTGAAAGTTAAATGCAAATTAGTATACATGCAAATTATCATGTCGCAAATTTCTGGTAATGCTTACCAGCTCGTTTAACGCCGACGAACGTGTGAAGAAACGTCATTATAATCAAAGAATTGTTGAAGTTGAACATGGCTCCTTCACCCCAGTCGTTTTTAGTGCCTATGGTGGATGTGGAAGGGAGACTTCTCACTTCCTTTCGTTCCTAGCAGGCAAACTGGCTGAGAAAAAGAACTTTAGTACCTCCATCGTTCTCAACTGGTTACGTAAGAAGATAGTTTTCGCTCTTCTTCGCGCTAGGGTTGTGTGTGTTCGTGGTAGTCGTTCCTGGAGAACTTTAAACATTCCTTCAACTACAGATATCTCGTTGTCGGAATGGAACTCTAATATTAGATAAAGTAGTTTCCTCTAGTTTCCAATTATTGCCAGTGCTCCACCACCACTGCATCACGCAGTGATCACATGTCACTCCCTTGGGCAGCTGCAGGGTGATAGTGTAGACCCCGTTTCCAGGGGGCAATTTCCACTCCGCGTTTCCATCGGGCATTCTCAGTAAGATCTTGTTTAACTCATTTTGTGTGATGGGCTGTTGTGTCAATGGGGCGAGACGAAACGTGAAATAACCCAAATGATTTGTCGTGATTCTTATTTTAACCTCAATCTTTTGACCTTCCTGGTAGCTTCTCACAATCGGCGCATTTTTTGCGAACTCCCCGGGATAATGGAACTTGGGGTTCGCGATCCCATATTCGTCCCCACAAACGCCACATTTGCCCTTGTGTTTCCCCCATTGTACGTTTCTACCACCGCAGCTCAGTTGGTTGTCAGTGTATTCTTTTGGACCTCCGTAACCTTTGCGCCAACGACTCGCGCGATTCACTGGGTCCATCATCATACCATGGCCACGAACTGACGCAGGAAAAACCGCTGCGAATATTGCTATGATGATGACGGACAAATACATTGTCGTTCCTAAAAAGATCGCAAGTTTCAATGCATGATTCCAGCTATATTATACATAAACATAAATTCTAATCAAGGCAAAGGTATAAAACCCAATACCACATGGGTGAAACTGCAAAGATTATAGTTACAAAATAATGGAATATAATATAATAAAATAATTGTAATAAATGGTCATCACTTTTGACCATCATTTGATTTAGATAAAGCGAAGTGTTCTAGAACTATTTGATCAACTATAGCTACCCAAACGTGGCGTTTAAAGTGTAAGACAGGTAATTAATATTATGGCAAATTATCATACAAAAGTCCGTTAAATAAAGCTCAAAATTTCAGTACACACGGTAATATGTTTAGACTTTATGATAGTATGCTATTATATTATAATATAATGCAATTATAACAAGGGTTCATTATAAAGCAGCGATGATTAACTTAGACCTGATCTGAATTGCTGCAAAAAGTTTTTTGACCATCATATTATGATAAATAAAATTATCCTACCGTACCACCAATTTCCATAATTTTCTTACCTGATTTGATCCTTCCACGCTGTTGTGATAGCAAAGTGAGCACCGAAGATATACTCCCAATATAAAGACTTCTTGTTTGTCTTATAAAACGTAAAATGACTGAATGAAGTTTTCCAACAGCATATATTTCGTCAGATTATGTCCACACATCTGAACTGCTGAATACACGCGATGTCTAGCTGTAATTTAACAGCTTGCCGTTTTTGTTAAGACAGCGAGCAGGCGAAATACTTGTATTTGAGACGAGTCATGAATAATTGTGCAGGCTAAGCAATCACACAGGGACAAATTTGAACAGTGTTTTGAGAGAGTTTCAAATGGTTTAAATTCATTTTCTGCCTTGGGAACCAACGATGATTAAAAGAAAAAAACAAATCCCCAAAAAAGATATCCTTCCGAATATCAATTCAAAATGGACGAAAGTGTAAATGCGGAAGCAATAGTGCGTTATTACTTTGTATTTCCTCGTTGTCTAGTTACTAAAATTTATATCAAGAACATCATACGTCATGCATGCATGCGCTATCAAACCTTCGCATTATTCGATAAATCTGATCTTGTGCAAAAACTAAAGATAATGTACCATTCCATACCAGTTTGCGCATGTGCAGTGTTGACGCAATGAACACAAAAGAGACCTCATAATACACTTCTCTTTATTCGGACAATACGTACATTAGAATAAAGCCCGTTATAATTAATTGGCATTGCCACCGGAACAGGTCAAATTTTGTACGCGTGTAGGCATTGAAGATTTTGTTTGAGAAAGGCAAACGAAGATGTGATGACGAAAGAATCCAGTGTTACGTGTTAACGAAGTCAAAGTTGAAATATACAAGTATCACAGTTAAAATCGGTTAAATTAGGGCCAACAAATATGTGGGGAAAATACGAAAAACTCAACAGTCACTGGATTGATCTCAAACTTGTAGCAACGGGCAACTAATCCCTGCTATGAGTCCAATCAAGAGAGAGCCCAATCACACATTCTCTTGTTGGAGAGACAAGAAACATTGCAACGCATATGAAAAAACGCAGAAACGTATTCAGTTCCTTAGTAAAAGGCTTGTAAAGGAAATAGTAAGGTTATATCGTTTTAGCCTAATCGAATGCTATTTTGTGCGCTTTATGTTATGGTTTATGCTTAGCGTCATGCAGACAGAAGGTTATTAATATTCAGTGCATGCAATTATTCCATTAGCGTCAAATTTCACGTCGTAAGCTTTCTTTCAAAAATTTATCGTTTTTTGAATTCGGTAATGCACTAAATGGTTAGAATTTGTGCTTTACTATACTTCTGTAGCTTCCATAAGCCAAATTTCACCGCGCATCCAAACAACGTCGCAAGCCATGTATTAGCATTACGAGCCATAATATGCCTTGGCAAGGTGCATAATTGTCGGAAGTCTCTAAGTGTATGTAAACAGACAAAACCAGATTTTAAAATGAATTGAGGGATTTTGCGTGTTACATATTAATATCGTAGTTGTAAACCATGTGTATATAGCTAATTTATTTACATCTGATAAACTTATCTAGCTGGGCCTCCGTACGAAGCAGCTACTGATTAAAATCTATTCAAAATTAAGGACCGCATCCTAGGACGGACATTTCAGCTTGAAATTCGTTGTTTTTAATGCAGTCTGACATAGCTACAAATTATACAACAATTGAAATACCCTAGCTATAATTTGAAGGCATAAATACAGTGACCTAACGCGCGTTCGGTAGGGTTACGACGAGAACTAAAAGTCCCCATTTATTGGGGGCCAGGATAGATAAGGAAACATCATTGTATAAGCAAAACGTGATTTATGACAAACAGCGAATTAAGGGACACTGCAGTACCAAGTATACCTCAAGACCCCATCCTCAGCTCTGTTCGTTACGCCACTGCATGAATATCATAGCAATTTAAATATGTACGCGTCCATCTAGTCTAAAACTGGAGCCCGAGCAACAAGATCCTCAGTGCCCCGCTTATAAAATTGTCTTATTTCCTTAAAAAGGTATCTTTGTCTCACCAGATCTAAGCCATCTGGCTCGATCGTTGCTGGCATGTTGAAAGGTGGCAATTGCATAAATATTACTCATATATATTATGGCATAAATATAACTCATGCATTATAAATATTTATTTAGACTCTTAATTCACAAAAAATACTTCATATATTGATATATGCACATTTCAGCACAATTCACTCCCCATGTATATTTTGTAATATGATTTCTCTCGACTTGCTCCTCGAATCGGAAACGTGGAACGCGGAAAAGGCTCAAATGGTATAAATGATAGAGACTGTATGAAAGTAATCTATATCAATGATGTTCATTGTGTGACATTGTTTATTACAAAAAAAATTCCGTGTTTTGTGAGGTTGAGTTTTGCACTATGTTTTAAAGTGCGTGCAGTCCTTCCTTGCGCACCACTGGGCTGACACAAGCCCAAAGGGCAAGTTGCCAAGCTAACGTTTACAAACATTTAAGTTTAACCTTTCAGATATTTTGCTACATATATTTCGCTATATATAATTCATCAGAATTTACATTAGAATACAATTTATCTTGCTTGGACAACATATCAGCTGTTGGGCAACAGGAAAATTTTCACTAATTTTGATTTGGGCTTCCTTGATTAGAAATTACATTCCGGATATTAAATTGCAATCATGCATGGTCATTGCACCTTGAAGCCTGCCAGCTAAAGCGGCAAAATGAACAAATTTGAAATGGCGTCTATCAACTGTTTATGCGTACATGAGCACGCGGGTAAAGATCTTTACCAATAATTTCGCGAAGACTATCCCAAATATTTGCTGGATATTAACATCAATGCATGGAGAAGTCAAGGCGTTTTAACACGTGCATATAAAGGTATGAACACTAAATGAAACATTAGCTATGATATAAGGAAAGTCATGACTGGGCCACTTTATTAGGCGCCCTTGCAATTATTTTCCTCCAAGCATTGAAATCAGGCTTATCGATGAAATCATCAACAGAATTCGTATAACGGTTGTCTCGATACAAACTAAAGTTTTTTTTCCCTTGAGTATATTTGCTTGGCTAAACTGTAGCTCTCTATTGACCATGCATATATCGAAATATGACACGCATTCGAGTAAGATTTCATATAGATGATCATGCAATTGTATATAACAAGACGTACCCAATTGCATTTTATGTATATGTTAACGCGAGTAAAATGTATTCGGATATATTAAATGCGCACTGCAATATAACCCTTTAGATTGCTTATCATGGCCGGTGGAATCAAGTTGGGCCACGATCATCCAATCATTCGGAATAAACATGACATGAAAGGTTGCCAGACCTTCAAAATGGCTTGGCTGAGGTTAAAAAGTTGTTAGCTTGGGCCGTGGTGGTTAATACAATTTATAGGATGCATTTACTTACATGTAAACAACAATTGTTTACAAACTTTGCTTGCTGACATTTTCCATAAAAAAAGGGTAGATGCTACCTCGAAATATATATAATTATATGATATAAAAAGATTTCGCCTGACAAAATGGATTAATGCTTTCATGCATGTCTTAATTAATCTTGATTAGTTAATTTTACTGTAAGCAGGAGGCACAAATTGTGTCACAAGTAGATGTCTCGAAGATGTTGAGGATCGTTTGTTTCTTAAAATGGTGAGTATAAACTCCCCTGTGCATGCATTTGGCATTGTCGTTTCTATATGGGCGGCAGCATTGCTATATGCTTTGCAGAAAAAATTATTTGCACTCTTTGTGATTTAAAAACCCGGTTTCTATATGGGCCGTCTGCTATTGCTATATGCTTTAGTGAAAATACTGTGCAATCTCTTCTTGCTGCCGGGGTTGAGTATTAAGTTGTTTTGCAGGGCGGAACTGAATTCGGACCTTCGGGATTGCGGATTGCCGCGGTGGTTTGAAATGAAGATTTCGAAAATTATCCCATTAATTTACGCGTTCTATTTCTTTAGGTCACTATTGTTAGGCTCATGCAGGTAGCATAGGTATTTACACAGTTAACTATGTAAATGGTCGAATATTTGGGGGGAAATAAAATATTTCCTGATGAATATAGTGTCCACCAAGAATTTAGTTAGCTAATTTAAAATCACAAGTATTAATTAGCGATATAATGGTTCATAAGTCATAACACGTGCGTATGTAATCACTGCGCTTTTCGCCTGCGTCTGAACATATTCCATTGCGCATGCGCATGCTACTGACACGAGAGCTTTTAACCACTTAAATTATAACTGGATGATATCTAAAGCCCTGGTCAAACGAGAATGAGAGTTGATTACCGCGCGCATTAATTTCGTAATTACTTCACTTCGTTTTGCTATTTTTTTGTTATCGGCAAAAAAAAATGCAAACCGCTGGCGGTTTTGCAACTCTCATCAACTCTCATGACCGATCAAACGCGCCCAAACTCTCATCAACTCTCATCAAAATTTGAACCAGTTCAA